AAAAAAAAAAACGTTAGCATATATATTTGAAGTATATATTATATGCATTAAAAGTAAATTTATACTTTCAGTATCCTCGTGAGTACCCTTTATAACTAATTTTATATACATATTACTTTATTACTTTATAATTATTTCTTGTGAAGTAACTTCAATGCTACTAATGATATCAATCATAGAAGATATACTATATTTATAGACAAAACGAAGCTGCAAAAGTTACGCTCAACTAACTAATCACTGTGATATATGAAATTTATCTTGATTCTAGAAAAAAATTTGGCAAAATTTAAGATAAAAGTTCTCACATCAAAATATATGACTTAAGTTATTAACAATATGGATGACCAAAATGTTTATCTCTTTTAAAAAAAAATAGTCATTCCCATGCTGCCAAACAAAACAAGATGAAACTGAACCGATATAATATGTCCTATTATCGTAATTAAAATGTCTCAACCATGTAACAGGTATAACATCATAATTTAAAAGTAAATGGCAGTGATAACAATTCCATATTTGCATTTAAAAGATTTTAGTGTTTGGGACAAAATCATGGGAATTTTATTTAAGGTGTTAATAAAACCATAATGTCAATGTACAATCTACAATAAATACACGACACTTAAAATAAATTTCTAATTTTCTTTGTGTTTGCAGTATAATAGAGTAAACTACCTGCCAGTTGTCATACGTAGTCTTTCATTTTTACTTTTTATATCATAGAAAAAATATTACTTATAATATTACTATTAACGTTTAAACAATAGTTAGCTTTATAATTTTAGTGTTTTTTAAAAGTTTAAAGACAACACGACCAACACGAGAGCTAACGATATACATACTTTGGGCGACTATCAGAATTTACATATATTCCTACATATTTAAGTAGCACATGCACTTCTTCTACTTTTTATATAAATAATAATAATTTATATATATATATTTATATAAATAATTTATTGTTAGATTTTTAAACTCACTTTTTCCATCTATAATTGTCTTGTTTATACTAAAATTTTTTATCCCATAAAAATTTATTATCACTACAACCATAAGTACTCTATTATACACAGATGTCATTAAATTTTGGTAATTTTGTGAAGTATATAATTTGCAATGCACTCTTACAAATATTTGAATCAATAAATAAACAAGAATCAGTCAAGATACCTTTTTCACCCTTTGCTTTTACTCTTAGTAACTCAACAACTAAGTAACTCAACTCTAAGCAAAACAGTGTAGGGTGCTATTTACTCCCTGCATTTTGATATCATTTTTAAGTATACTAAAGGTACAGCTAAGTGGTAAATAGTTCACAAAGCAATTGCTACAATCGATCAGACTTGTCTTAATATATCTATTTATCTTTATGAAGTATGTCAACTCTGAGAGATTGGCAATGGCAAGCAGAGGTGACTTATTCTATTTGTGACTATTCCTATCGTATGTGGAATTATATTGCATATGTCAGCTATGACCCATAGTTCAACAGACATTTTTGACAATCCTCTCCTAATATCAATGATCTTGTTAGGATAACATTTATATTTTCAAAACGCGATATTCACGGTTGCCACTTATGGTACTTTAGTACCAAAATTGGTACTTTTTTTTGCGTTTGGTACTCATGTTCAAAAAATGGTACATTTTTGACGACCCAACTTTATTGTGGATATTTCCAATTAATTTTTTTTATAAATGCAACTTTGCACTATTTTATATTTTGTTCATTTATAACACTATAAAAAACACAGAACGAAAAAATAAGAAGGTACAAAAAAATTTTGGACCTTTTTTTACAGAAATGGTACCTTTTTAAACCAATTTTGGTACAGGAAAAAATTTTCAAGCGGCAACCGTGGCGATATTATTGCGTATCTGATTGTTAAGTGTCACACCATTGACTACAACCATTAATGAGTGATTTGCTACACTCCCAGGCTATCGTTCTATCTAAATATAATATTTCAATAAATAAATTTATTAATTACTTTTTATATATTTTTGTGATCTCGAACAGTTTCATTTTTTGTAAATAGAACAATTTATTGAGGATAGACACTGGGGATAGATATATATATTTATTAGATATTTGCTATTTGCTATTTGCTATTTACTGGTGAAAACTCATAAATTGATAAATATTTGCTCTTATAAGTTTATCGTTAAATCATTTTTTAATGAAGAGGTTTAGTTTAGCAAAATAAATAATAATAATTTATTTATCAAAATATGTTTAACATACTAACTTAATATAAATATCAATATCTTATAATTGACCAGAAAACATTTTTTTCAAGAAACATATTGTGCATAGATAATATAAATCAGCATTCGGTTTTATCATGAAACGTTCATTTTTCTCTCTTTCTCTCTTTAGTAGTAATATCTAACTTCAAATGTTTATTATGTTATAATTGAAACTATAATATAATTATAGCAACTATGGATAATTATAAAAGACACTAAAAATTCTAATCCGTAATAATATATGTTATTATTATCTGTATAAATTGAAATAATTTTAAATGTTTAACTCAAATCAAGACTAATATAAATTAAATAATTCTATTCTGTACTAGGCCTTATAACTGCTATTTCACCTTATAACCACTATAAAACATAAACATAACCTGCTTTTAATCATTCTATTTATAAATCTTAACACAATATAAATAAATTATATGTAATAATTCTTACTTAACTTTATACACTCATTTTCACAATTTATTGTAATATACGAGTATGTGTACAAAAACTCAATTAAGGTGTATTGGAAAATAAGACATTCGACCTATCTACCACTTCGATAATTTTTTTAAATATGCTATTTATAACTGAATTAACACTGAATTAGTTTTTTACAAAATAAAATTAATTAATTTAATTATACACGATAAAACTTCAACTGTAAATTGTATTAAAAATTATAATTTGACAGAAGAAAAATTATTCTTTTTATATTTCATATTAGTTGCGTTTTATTATTAGCGCGATATGTAATGCGCTTAATTTTTATATAGGAGCTATCGCACATAACCTAAAAAAAACTTACTTTTCGTGCGAACAAAATGAATTCAAGCAAATTATATGCAATGAATTCATATAATTTGTTAGTGTTGCCACAATATTCCACAAATGAATTGCGAGTTTTATTTTTATGCGCCAATAATAAAAAAATTTAACTCTTTTGATTAATATAGTGCCATTTAAGCATTTTCCAAAAAGGAACGAAAGAATTGGGCGGCATAAATTAAGTCTGTTTCAAATTTTTTCTGTATATATTAAGCCGTACAATCTGGCCATATTCCTATAAAAGGGAATTCAAAATTTTCATTAAGATACCCCGTAGAGTTATCAGTCTTTTGGTAGGTTTACTTACAAATCACTGTAAACTAGGGAACTACGCTAGAAGATTAGGTTTCCCTTTCAATAAAATCTGTCGCAGCTGTGGGAAAGACATGAGGATGCCTCTCATCTATTATGTTTTTATTCAGCTCGTGCACGGCGGCTACTCAATACTTTAGGAGTCCCCTTTCTTGAGAATATTGACCAATTACAAGACCTGACACTAAATAGCATTTTAGGCTTCGACAAAGGTTCTAGGTGGTTTTAAACCCTGAATATTTCCTATATATACGGTAATGGGCTATATATACAATGGGCCAATAGGTCTAAGTGGATCCATTAGAGATCGCCGGTATAACCTAACCTAACCTATTTAGCCATACTTAAGTGTAAATTTCGTTTGTTTTTTTGGTAGCATACATAACGTTTTACATAATTAAAATATTGAAATATAAGAAAACCAAACATATAATTTGCTCCGTTCACAATTTAATCTATATAAAAAAGGAGCAAATCTATTAAATACCCTTTGAAAATACTTTGTGTATTCAAAGAAAAATAATCACGGATAAGATATAAAAAGATCGTACCATAAATTGTCATCTATAACTGTATCATACTTTTTTATTCAGTGATAGCATCAATTAAAAAAACACAAAAACTATTCAAGTTTAAAAATTATAATATTGTCCTAAATGAATTTTCAAAGCTTGAATTTTGTATAATGGTATACAATATTATAAATATATACTCAAATCAATATGTAAATATATTATGTACATACTGGTAACGATATATACGCCGATATCCGGATGTTTATAAACGATTCATAATATATAATACCAAAATTCAAACATATAAGGGAGACATATACAAGTGTTGATCATACAAAAAAGTAATTCCCCTGAAGGATGCCAAATCTAAACAACTGTTAATATATTAATAAATTAATATATCTCAAATGCTGGTTTATATTAAAAATAATTTTTTTAACTAATACTAATATAAAAAACGCATTTTTATAAAATAATTCAAGTAAAGAAAAAGAACTATAACATATAAGACGAAAAATATGTGTATAATTAAAATGTTAATATTGGTAAATAATTACAGGTAATAATATATATATGAAATCTTAATAATATTTATATTTTATATTTATACATATTTTGTGCTGATAAAGTAAATCATTTCGGCGTATTCTAATTTATATTTTTCTCTTATAGCCTTAAAGTTGTAAATATTTTAGCAATTCCTTTCCAAATGTATTTATTTGTTAACCATTGTTAATTTAATTAAATTATATAAATTAATTAAGTTTTTCTTTATTTCTTTGGTGGTTTAGTTTTGCAATTGTTTTGTTATTCTTATTTAATTTACTTAAATATAATTAATTTATTTTTTAAGTTGAATATTTTGCTAACTTATTTAATCATTTTATTTAATAATAACTCCAATTCGCTTTGACGGCAGGATTAAATTCATAACTTAAACTCATTTAAGTAATTTTATTATTTTATTTTTAGCTTACATATTTCATAAATTTTTAAACTGTAGCTGCCTAAGAGTTTGTATTAAACAAATTAATTTTTATTATTATTTATGTTAAAAAATAATTTAATATATTAAAATTACTCAACTTACCTACTTATAACAATTTAGAGATCTATTAGCGATATTACGTTTCTATTAGTATTACGTATTTCTTGCTCATTTGCGGGTCATCAAAGGTCATTATCAAACATTTGTAATGATCTGGTAACGAGGTCATCCTTAAGGCATGCTTCTAAAAATTCTTCAATTGTTATAATACCGTCCTGGTTTAAATCAAGTTTTCGAAAAACTCGATCAACCTTAAAATAAATTTTATATTAATGCTTTTTAAAAAATTGCAACTAAAAATATTAATATGAGAAGAAAATTTGTATTCATATTATATTTAACGTTTGTACCATGTTTTAGACCTTGTACCTATTTATGTATTAATTTCCCAATCGGAAATTCGCGTGGTATCGGATTAATAGGAATATAGCAATCAAATTCAAATCATTTATATAGAATCAGATTTGTTTAGAATTAGTTTCGGTTTTTTATCTGTTTAAAATTTGGCAACAAAGTCAATTTAATTTCTTGATTTTCAATTTCATTAATAATTATAGCTTTATAACACTATAAAGGCACTCAAAATTAAGTTGACACCGATAATTTCACATTTTTTCTATATCTAATTTTTAGGTTATAACTTCCTTTCTCTTTTTTTTTTAATTTCTTAATTATTTATTTAGATACTCGTATTTAATATTCTCTTTATTGAAATATATTTCTTTCTAAAATACCACACATTCATATTAACCAGATCGATATATTAAAAAAAAATTATGTCAAACGAAAAAACTGGTAATTTTATGGTATCATAGTAATTTTAATATCATAAAAAGTTTTATTGTAGAAAGCTTATTTGAATCTGACTCATTTACTCGGATTAATAGGTGAAATTATCAAAAAATCACCCCTAAAAAGTTTTGTGGTACCCTCCACACCTTTTAGTAAAAATCATTTTGCAAAAATCTTTGATCGCATAAGAGTATACGTTATGTTTAAGCAACTTGCTATATATTTGGAAATTTGGTCTATGACGGATCTTTTGTTTGTAAATTCAACTCTGCGACTAAATTTTTTGATAGAAACTGCGTTGTCAGCTTATCAAATCGAATCAAGACAACAACTTATAATCTCACAACGAGAGAAACTACTGTGCAGCAATGATGCATTATAACTTAAAGATGTTCTAAATGCATATTATCAAAAGCGAACAAATAAATTCAAATTGACAATTGTACAATGCATTGAATACGCCAAATTGATCGACCTTGACTTAAAAGACTTAAAAGCGCATCCTACAATACAAAACTATGTACCTCCGTGGTTTCTTCAATTAGCATGTACAATTCAACACTACTGATTGCTATATGGAAAACAATTGGACTCTATTGTAAATGGATAGTTGAAAAACTGAAAATCATGTCATATTTACGATTATACGTCAAAATAAATTCCTTATCACGGCTGTTTGATTGACGCGTTGAACATCAAGCTTGCAACAGACCACACAAAATGCAACAGAAACAAATTTCTTATATGTAGAGACAGTAATCTCACAACCGAAGCAGCGAACTTATCTGAGTTAACTGAAATAACTACTGCAAATCACGTGGGTTCTGGATACGCAAGAGCAATGTAGATCAAGCCGATTAATACCAGTATATTAAAAGCCAGTATATTATACTTACAATAATCATGCACCCATCAACAAGGTTCAATTTTTAATCGATAACTTATGGGATACATAAAGCTTTCTCATGAGTGAATTTTTTATTGTGAAACGGACTAATTGATAGTTAATTAAAACAAAAATTATTATTTATTTTTCGAAGATTTCAATTATCTACAATAGTCATCTTTAAACAACTAGCAATGAATTTTGCTTTTCATTTTATTTTTATTTCAATAAAAAGAATTAATTAAAATAAAAAATACTGTACGATGAGTATTGAAAACATCCATAGATTATATTAGACATAAGTCGAATATTTTAGGGCGAAGACATCTCTTCAACAGAAACATATTTTTATCTTTTTATCATTCTCTAATATTTAAACCTTTTCAATTTTTTCAAAATTTTTGTAATTAATATAGTACTTTAAAATCACTTTTTATGAAATAGTTGCTTGTTATGTTTTTTCTCCATTTCTTCTCATATACATATTTTCATTTTTATACTACCAGTATTCATACCTGATCTCTTGCTTTTCTATCATCTTCTGGTTGATGTGGCCTTCGGCCCATTAATTCGTGTATTGCCATAACGATTTCTCCTAACTCGCCACGACTTATGCGTCCATCACCATTGAGATCATATAATTTAAAAGTCCATCGCAATCGTTCATACACTGAACCTCTTAGCAGCGTAGACAAGGTAACTAGTAAATCCTGCAAAGCACAATAGTTATTGTATTCGTGAATCCTTGTCAACTGACAATATAATAAAATATTATTGTGCGTGAAGCAGTTGCTTACCCGAAAACTAATAGCGCCATTAGAATTAACATCAAATGCTTTGAACACATAATGAGCATATAGACTAGAGTCTAAAATTGAGACAAGTAAGAAAAATTAAATAAAAGTTTCAAAAACTAAAAAATGATTAGTTTTAACTACGAAATTTAATACTGATAAATAACATTTTTGTGTACTTACTGCCATGTGGAAAGAATTTGGCGTAAATATCCTTAAATCCATCTTCATGTACTACACCCTCAGGACATTCCTTTAAAAAGTAAATGAAAATTATGGACCATCTTATAAAACAAAGCATGTTTACTTCGTCTTTACTCACAGTTTTGAAGCCTCGGTACATCACGCGTATTTCCTGTTTCGTAAATTTTGTTTGTCTGCATAAATCTTCCAGTGCTACTGGAATTGGCTTAGGCACTCTTGTGTGTTCTAATTCGTAGACTACCTCTTCGATAGGACTTTCCGGTGGCGAAGCCATACTATTGCAATTTTAGTTCAATTTTACTTTGAATGCAACTTAGTAAAAGTGCGGACTATTATTGCGTTGCCTTCAATATTGCTGCTATACAATATATCCAAAAGAGTTTAAGCTTCGGATAACGACCATTGGCTATGTTGGTAATTGTAAATTCGTTTCAAATTTATATTAAATACTAAATACGAAAAAATATATTTCAATTACTTATTAACAGCATTGCATTGCATATGTTCAGCAACAGAAATTTGCACTGTTAACTGTATTGTTCCGTCGATTTGTGGGGTGTGTTCGTTATTATCGGGACTGCAAAAGTATTTTGACAATGTGATACATTGTGACTGCAATTAAAAAAAATGCAAAAAGCAAAATTATATTACTTCAGGAAATTAACAACAAACTGCAAATAAATGTCAAATCTTAATTTGAATTTTAAAATTCGAAGTCCTTGCATTTACGAGTTTTGAACGGAAATCAACAGCTGCTCTGCGTTTCGTTTGAACGGAAAATCAGCAAAAATGGCTTACACACTTTGTATCGAAAAACGAAACGAAAAGAAATGTCCAAGTTTTTTTCATTTTTAAAAATAAGAAAATAACTTTCAATGGTTAAATAAGCAAATACACAAAAATAAAATTTTGTAAATTTGCATTTTCTATTCATAAATATCAAGGTCCTTAAAGTTAGCGTAAGACTTAACTTGACTTAAGCATGCTGCATTTTCTTAAGCAAAAAATAGAGTTTAATTTACTGTACTTGAAAGCCAAATCAAAGTTCGTGAAAACTTTACTAAAACAGATGAATGCGACCGTGCTATATAAAGTACACATCCACTTTAGTGGAATGGTTACTAATACATATCTTATAAGAGAAGGCTAACATAATAACATAAATAAAATTGTATTATAAATTATTTGTATGGGAACTGAACACTGGTTCAGTAAATCCGCACACGAATTACTTATTATCTATTAAGTACAATTCAGCAATAGTAATAATAAATTAACAAATAGTTAAGATTGTACTACTCATATCCAATAAAGGATGTTACAAAAAAAAATATCTTATAATACCTTAGAATAGACCCGATCAAAAAATACATAAGGGGCAGAGCCCTGAAGTTATATGCGAAAATTGACAGGCTATCCTACTTACCACCATCTAATCTTAGAGTAATCACTCTCCGCACGGGGAGGTACGCAGATCTTAGATCAATCACTGAATAATCATGAAGCTTATAAGGAATACATAAATTAGTCAATGAGATGGGTGGGACCCTGCAGTACCCCCAGCTATCAAAGAGTAAAAGTGCCCAGTTGCGCTGACTCGAAAAAAAAGGATCAACATACAAAATTTAGAAGATATATACTAACATTTCTAACAATTTCACAGTTAAATTTGCTTTGCCCTTACAGATATACAATATATAATAGTTTAATGTCAGAGTGGCAACAAACAAAATTCTGATCTGTACTAGAAATAGAAATTAATTTCTAGCAATGCTTGGAAATGTAATCACACTACATGGTATAAGATTACAAATAAACTGATCTAAATTGATGTGGTCCCATATAAATACGAGTATAATAAATATTATTACTGACATTACTAAAAGACAGCATATTTATTCAATTCTCTTCTATTTATTTAAAAATGAAATGAAACTGTATAGCGGTTAGAAACACTACAATAAAAAGCAATTTATTACGATGTAGTTTCCAATTATTTAAACTAAAATGTGTAGGAGCTTAATAAAGAAAGATATCAATGTTCTTCAATACCATGTATATTCTTCAATTATCATAAATATAATTATAGTTTCTTATGTTTCTTACTAATTGGTTGTTGTGTTTAGTTGTATTTAATCTTATATTAAATTGCTTAGCATTTATTAATATTGTAGTACAAGTTTTTGTTTTTGAAGAAACGATCCATTTACTTTAAATATCATAAAATAATTTGCAGAAATCTAATATTAATTCTAGGAAATTTTTATAGAAGAGCAAAGTTGCTACTCATATGCAGACTCATAATTAGATTCATATAGATTCACAGATTGCATCAAAATGCAGTTTATATGGTAGTTGCTTTAGCATAAATATTTTTACTATAACATTTTTTGAATTTATTTATGGATCTGTTTATTAAAATGGTTTTTTATATATTTTTTAATCTGGCTGTAGGTCTCTTCTTGTTAAATAATTCAACGTTTAATACTTTTTACTGTACGCTATATTTCGACTCTCCTTGAAAGTCATCGTCAGAATTACGATCTACGATAACTACACATACGTCATCCTCTTTGGCGTATATGTAGTTTTAATAATATTCACTTTTAGTATATCGTAGTCCTGATGATCGTGTAATATAGACGATAGAACAAAGAGGATGATGTGTATGTAGTTTTAATAATATTAACTTATAGTAGATCGTAATCCTGATGAGGACTCTCAAGGAGAGTCGAAATACATAGTGCAATAAAAATTCTGATGATCGTGCAATATAGCGATAGAACAAAGAGGATGATGTGTATGTAGTTTTAATAATATTAACTTATAGTAGATCGTAATCCTGATGAGGACTCTCAAGGAGAGTCGAAATACATAGTACAATAAAAATTCTGATGATCGTGAATTAGCGATAGAACAAAGAGTATGATGTGTATGTAGTTTTAATAATATTAACTATAGTAGATCGTAATCTGATGATGACTCTCAAGGAGAGTGAAATACATAGTACAATAAAAATTCTGATGATCGTGCAATATAGCGATAGAACAAAGAGGTTGATGTGTATGTAGTATTAATAATATTAACCTATAGTAGATCGTAATTCTGATATTGACTCTTAAGGAGAATAGAAATATAGAGTACAATAAAAAATATTAAACGTTGAATTATTTAATAAGAAGGGACCTACAGCCAGATTAAAAAATATATAAAAAACCATTATAAATATTTTTAGTTGCACTGTACCGAAACTGGAGGTACCGCGATTGTTTTGACTTAAAATAATATTATTCATATGGTACTTACTAAGTCATTTAAAAGTTCGTTAGTTTCCTTTCGCAGTAAAGACATGCCGTTTTTTAAAATAATGTATTAAAACAATGTGACGAAATTTCAATATTTGTATCTTTCTTTATTTTTGCCTTAAAAGGTTTGGTTAAAATAAACATATCTCTTGACATCGCAAATTTTAGCTTGAAAGTGTTTTGTTCTTTGTTCTATTTTGTTCAAAATTAACTAAAAAACTTAATATATATATTGTATTTTCTGCGTAAAGTGCAGTTGGGCTCACATTTTCACAACTACTAATAGTTTTCAGGAATTTCGTAGTACATTTAAATTGAAATATATCCCGACTAAACTTAATACAATATGTACTTAATTTATTTGCGTTTGTATATTAAAATTCTTTTAAAGCTTGCGTGTCAACATCTTTATAGCTGATTATACATTTTTATGTTAAAATAATAAGAATAATAATATTTAGGAAGTGTGAGTTATAATATATTAAAAAAGTTTCAAGCTCATAAGTCAAGAATTTTATGGCTCCAAAGTACTCTGCCAAATTGTTTTAAAAAAACTTAATGTCACACTTACTGATATGTATCTTTTTCCTTTTTAAATAGGTACCAACTTTGAAGAGCAAAATAAATATAATCACTTATATGATATAGGAAGCAAAAAGTTTTATATGACAGGCGTATTGCAACTGCTGTGTACGACAGTAAAATTACAGCCTTGCAATGCTTTTTTTAATTTTTTTTTTTTTGCCTTACAAATGAGTTTTTTGTGTTTGTTTTTAATGCGAAGGACATGGATTGCATGCAGTCATGCAATCTATTTCATGGGCATAGTAGTACATTAAAAGCAGTAAATTATCTATATTCTATCTATCAATACTAAACAAAAAAGTATGTATTACATATATACTCGTACTCGTGCACACATACATGCAATACATACCATGCAATTTATTATAATCGCAAACATACAGTCTACCGAGACCATATCGAAACCGCATTTTTGGTATCAAATTGCGGAAACAACCGAGAGCTTCACAATTATCCAATTGGGCATTTTTTGCTTTAATTTTTGGCAATGATATCGCCAAGACATTCATAAATCAACGCCAATATTCATTGAGATGTTTTATCCACTTTAATTTTTTGACGTTGAAAACACTTTCACAACATCAACCAAAATGATGTTTTGCCAAAATTGTAACGTTAGATTAAGTTGTTGGCCAATAGCTTAAAATTGCCCATAAATTAGCCAATCAAAAAAATTAAGACGAAGTCCTTCCAACGAACTCTGCATTAAATATATACGCTATATGTTAGATATACGAGTACATGAACAAAAATTTTCTTCTCATTATTCTGGTGTGTACTATGAATGTGGGGCTAAGACGGAAATGACAATGATTTATTTTAAGGTGTAACGTATTAGACAAAGAAATAAATTTAGCTTAGTAAGGATATTTTTCCTTTTTGGCATTTTTGGTCTGGCCGAACTCACCTAAATTCATTGCTTAGGCAAGCGCAAAAATTTCGTTTGGCGGATTTATTTTTAGCCATAGTAATAAAAACTTCGCCAATAATTTCGAAATTATTTTTGTAAATAAATCGAAATATTTCGAATATAAGTAGAATAATTTAATGTGCATTTTTCGTATTTCGTACTATTTATACATTTATAGTTATATAAATAATAAAAACATAATATTTAACACAGTTACATATGTTATATATAACATACTAAATATCTTATCTATTTACCAATCCATCATCATCAGAGACTAGGATCTTTCAATAACATAATTTATTTATTTATGATTTGTAAACATCAAATAAACATTTTCAGACAACTAAATAAAAACATTAAAAAAAACTGTGATTACTGTTTTCAAATCTTAATTGTAAATTAGCTGAAGCTCTTAATTACATTACAAACATTAAATTGTTTAAAGACTTAAGTAGTATTCAAAGTTCCATGCATAAAAATTTCCATACAATTCTTAAGCGTTTCAAAAGCTCGAAAGAATATATTTTATCATGAAGACAGAAAAGTGGAATGATGTATCACCAATCTTTCCGTTTCCGATCTTAATGTCAACGTTTATTATTCTTGAGTGCATACGGTTTTTATTAATGAATACTGTATTGTCCGAGTCAACGTCGGAATAACGATTTCAACATCTTATTGAAGTGCATAACATAGCATTAACTCAATGCTGGACGTATTGACATCACATAAAAGCTAACTGCCCTCCGAACAATAGTAAGGATCAAAGATCAATATCGTCCGATTCTCGAAAAATGCATATTTACATA